GCCTGGCCCAACATCCGCCACGAGGTGTTGGGCCTCATCTTCTCGGTGTTTGGCAAATGACTCCAGTCGCTTCGTCGTCAGCAGATGCTCCATGCAAATTCTTCTCATCCTCTTCCAATGAGGTCCCAGAGGAGCCAGGGCAACATCGCCTCGCCCATATGCAAGATGAACGGCGGCAAGGGTGTGTGGGCGAGAGGCGAAGACATCATCCTGGCGGACGAGGATTTCATGGATGATGCTTGGGTCATTAGTGGTGATGGCATGGACTTGGCCCAGTTTGAGGTAAACTAAGGGCCCATATGTGTCACACAGAGAGGCAAAGTCTCTGTGTGGGTATTGGCCCAGTTGGAGCAGATTGCCTACTATGGGCCACTTTAGTGGGCCCGGGGGAAGCGGCTCCTTGGGTTTGGGTACAGACCTGTCGATGACCCAATGCTGAATGAATTTTGCGACAAGAGTTACAGCAAGTAAGGCTGACAAAAATGCTGCCAAATCCATTCCCAATATCAATTCCTTGAACTCACACGAGCATTCCCCAATTCATGTTTCTTTTTCTCAATTTTTTCCCAAATAAATATTGAGAATGAGTCAATGGAAGTTCAAGTCATAGCCACGCCTTTATAGACTTTATCATTCACCATTTTGGCATGATCTTTTTTTAGTTCTGTTCTTGGTAGAGAAGTTGTATTTTGTATTGACGCACTCAAATTTTGTGCCTTTTGTGTGACATAGCTGTGCCTTGTTATTCTCTATCGGCTTTGTTCCAACTACAAAGAAAATGAGTGTTGCATTTCTCTCCCCTGGCGAGATTTATTCGCAAAAATGAGAATGCGCATGATCTCCAGTTTAGGTGATCAAGTTAATACTGTATTATAACATTGGGGAACAAAATTCTAGATGAGTTTTTGTTTTCCTTCATGTAAAATGGCTCTATTAAGAAAATATATAGCTTGGGTCTACGTTGAAAAACACTTACTGAAATTTGGTACGTTTGGATTAACCGTGAAAAAGGTAATTTATTTTTAATTTGATATTTTAAAAAAACTGGATTAGGTAAATGTTAGATCGAATAATGTAATTTATGTTTGGATTGGATTTTATAAAAGTTAGTTCGTAAAAGTAGAAAAGTTATTTGGATTGTGATTAAATAAGTAAATTTAATTTGTAAAACTACAAAAATTGGTATGATTTTTATCAAATACTAAAAAATTATTAAAAAAATAAATTTACATAATATAATGAATTTAAATTATTTTAATAGGAATAAGTGAAATTTAATGACTGAAATGTATTTTAAAAAATTAAAAATATTATAAAAAATTTGAAAATAAAAATGTACTATTGAAAAAAATTTACAAATATTAAAAATACAAAATTAAATATACTTAGTAAATAAAAATGTATATAAATCCTAAATATTTCTTGCTAGCAATATATAAATTATAAATAGTGCGTTGGCAAGAAGTATAAGTTATAAATTATAAATAATAACAATAACAGTATCTAATTAAGGATCTGTAGCATTGAGCCAGTCGGCCAAAGAGTGATGCTCTCCTTTTGTTTTCCTATGTCTCTACAGTGATGTAGAGAGTGTTTGGATAAAACCAAACTATGAGAGTAGTTTCTTTGGGAAAAGTTATTTTTAAGAATGGATTTTGAAAGAATACGTTTTGTAAAAAAGTGATTTCGATAAAATGAAGATATTTGGATAATTGTTATTAGAAGCATTTTTTATATCTACAAATTACTAAAAAGGATATAAGTTAATATGATAATTACATAAAAGATAGATTTTATAATATATTTTTATTTGAAGTAATAAATTTGTTACTAATATATTTTTTGCCAATATAATAAATAATATATAAAAAATTAATTAATAAATAATTAATATGTGTATATGTATTTATAAAATATAAGATTAAACATGTTTTTAAAAAATGATTTTTTTGCTAGCTAAAAAATATTATTTTATCTTGAAGATTTTAAACATAAAATCTCAGCTATTTTTTTTTTTTTTGCAAAATTGAATTTGAAATTCATTGCATAACAATCAAGGAAGAAAAAACCAGATCAGACCAACCAATTCAACCAGAAAATCGATGAACCAGCCTAAGTTTCAGTCTAGTTTAGCCTAAAAACCAACCCCCAATTAACCTAGAATGAATGAGAATAAACCTGTAAAAACAGGGAAAATTGCTGGGTGGACTAGGTTGGCCGTTTTTTCTTTTTTGTTTTTTTTTTTAACTTCTAATCTTGCTCTCACCGTTCAGTGAAAACCATGGACACTGCAGAGACATGCAGTAGGAACAGAGGAGATCATGGAGGCTGAGGAAAAGAAATCTTTGTCTGTGCTACTTTGAAGTATATCCATAGAAGATTGGAAGAGAAGGAGAAAGATAAGAGAGAGAGAGAGAGTAGGATGGATGAATAAAGTGTAGAGAAGAAAAATGGTGCTGGTCTTTCGCTATTTCTCCACTTCTCCATTCTATTTGAGGAAGAAATAGAAGTGAGGACGACAGGAAGTAATTTGAGAGAGAGAAGGGAGAAATGGTAATGCGTGCTCAATGAGGCAAGATAATCTGCTACCACTCTAGTCTACTCTGCTTGTTCAATGTCGAAGGAGAGAGACATTGCTTTGTGATGTGTGATATAAGGAGGAAATTGGGCATGGCACGTGGGAGAGAGAAGATAGAGAAAAAAGAAATAAAAAATAAAAAAATTTATATACATAGATATTTTATAACATGATTACCCATTTAAAAATTAAATATTGTTTTTTATAATTAGAATATGAATATTTTAACTAATTTTAATTAAATTAAATTATTTTAATTATTACCAGTCTGACCCTGATCTGACCTATTAACCCTTGAACCAGTGTCTTGACCGGTTCAATGTTCGGTCTGACTTTTTGTTCCTTGATAACAATTGACGTGAGAAATTTTTTTTCCCAAGAGAGATAGATTGCTTGCATGTAAATAATTATCATCATCGTCTTAGAGACTTTAATTCATCCACTTTGCCTTTCTCTCTCCTCTGACACCTATCATAATTAGAGCCGGTAATATGGGTTGAACCTGCGGGCTCAACTCGCTAACAAGTGGCAGGTTGGGTTGATAAAAATTAGGATCATTTTAAAATGAAAGTTTTGAACCCATAACCACCAAGCCCAAACCCGCGGCGAGCTAACCCGTAGGGTTGGCGGGCCAACCCGTTTAACCATTTCTTTTTTTTTTTTTGTGCAAATTTTTCCCTTTGCCTCTTAGTCTCTACACTCTCGGCCCAGTCCACAATCCAGCGATGAGCAGTCCATATCTAACAGTCCAACACAACAACACCAGCACAATCCCATTTTCACATTTTGCCTGTGTGTCGCACTCCTCCTAGACCTAGTCTCCCAGTCGCCCTCGGCCAGTCCTAACTCCCAAGCCGCAAGCTCTCCGCTCTCTGTCTCTACTTTGCGCCTTTGACCTAGCTCATGAGTGATGATTGAGCACTTGATAGTTGATAGTGATTTGCGTAGTGACATTGTGTTTGTGACTTTGTGGTGGTGTTAATTTGGATTTATGTTTTAATTTGAGATGTTTGTTAAATTATTAAGGACATATCATGTTCATGTAATCATATGTCTAATATTTTGATATATTTGAAAGTTGAAAGTTGAAACTTTGGATGGATTCCATGTTTTATTTATGATAATTTCTATTTGCATGTTTTATTTTAGGTATTTAGAAATTTGAGACTTTGAATAGGTTTTATTAAAAAAAATAAAAAAATCACAAAATTTGGCTGGTTGGCGGGTTGGGTTGGAAAAATTTCGGCCCGCCAGAAAACAGTCCTAAAAAACCCGGCTCGCCAAGTTTCAGGCCCGCCACGGGCCAACCCATAACAGTATTTTCACAGTCCAAAAGCAATTTTTTTTTTTTGTTTTGGATGAAACCATAGTTTTGATAGGCTAAACCATGGTTTCAAAAAATTATGGGATGGTTGGGTATTTTTTAGATCAAACCATGATTTGGGCCTTAACGCTTTCGGCAAGTTTGCAAAACACCTCCGTGATCGCACTACACAAGCCATAAGCATAAAAAACCTGCTTCTACTTTATCGCGTGAATGTGGCGAAAGCTCTTTTTTTTTTTTAGGCTATTCCAAACACAATAAAATGACAAAAGCAGGCTAAAAGCATCTTTTCGATATTGAAACGTGACTCTTTTTTTTTTTTTCCATTTAAACTAGAGTGTTTGATATTAGACAAAAGTGCTTTTAAAATTTTTTTTTTTTACAAATTAAGACAAATTCATTAACATATTTACATTATATATATGTATTATAAAATTACTTTTAAAGTTATGATTTAATTTTTATCCAAACACTTTTTTAAAATATCTTCCACGGTACACAATGTCATTTATATCCATCGAAATATAAGCATCCACGCCTACAAGGGTCGGGTCCGACTGGTCGCAAACGGGAACGCAAGGCGCCTTCCCTACCATGTTATGGGCTCGATACCTGTGAGTGCACCTGGGATTAGTCTGGCCTTGCTGAGACTGGGATACCCTGAGGCAGCGATCACATCCTACTCAAAAAAAAAAAAATATAAGCATCCACTAGAAGGGAAAACCGCAGCGCGGGGGAGCACAACCAAATTGAACTGATTGCCCGCCATGACGTCTTTGATATAAGAAAACAAAAGAAAAGGAGTGTTTAATTTATATTCTTTTAATTTCTCCCATGAATTATTCCATGGCATTGATTTTATTTGAGACAAAAATATCTTTCACGGTAAGTTTTTGGCGGTATCAAACCGAACAAGGAGTATTTAATACCTGATCGGTCAATTCTCATCCCAAGGTTCCATGGTCTAGTGGTCAGGACATTGGACTCTGAATCCAGTAACCCGAGTTCAAATCTCGGTGGAACCTCTCTTTTTTATTCGTGCTTTCATTCGTGTCCGCTTCTATGCCCAACTGTTCTACGCTGTCAAGCTATTTAATCTTTTTTGCCATCCTATCTTAGTACTGGGCAAATTTTCTCATTCGTTGGACAGACTTTTTCCACACATTGTTCGTATTGTGCTCCTTAATGGAATCTGAAACTCGACAGAAAATTGAGGAAACGGTGCTGGATATACTGAAGAATGCCAACATTGATGAAGCGACTGAGTTCACAATCCGACTCGCGGCCTCGGAGCGGCTCGGGATGGATCTTTCTGACTTGGAACACAAGCTGCTTGTGAGAGGAATTGTAGAGTCGTATCTGCTCGCTATCGCCGAGGAAGAAGGTGGAAGGTTCCCCGCATCTGAGCTGAGTGCTCCACAAGAGACTAGAGAGGTGATGCAGTATGAGCAAGAGGCGAAGCCAAACAAGGAGGTTTTGGGGGACTCGGAGCGCATAATTTGCCAGGTGAAGCCGGTGTTTTATGATAATCTTTTGTTTTCCCTGGTAATTCAAATTTACTCGGGACCAGTAGTGTGGAAAAACTGAAACTTTATGTTTTCTTCTATGCTCGGTAACCTTCTGGATGTCTTAGATAGATGTTTGTAACGAATCATTTGAAAGCCCTAAATTCTGTTTGTTTTCCGAAAAAAGTTGAGGGAAAAGATGAGGAATTTACATTTTTAGAGTATTGTGTATTTGTTGTTCTAGTTGTCTGTAAATACTTCGGAAGGAAGGCAGGAACTCTAGCAAGGAGTTAGAGGGCCAAGCCTGCATTATGTTTTCCCCCAAGTAAGGATGAGGAACAGCCCAAAACTGGTTGCTTTGTTCTGTCTTGCCAAAGCATACTAAAATTGCGGCAATGTGATAGTTAGCGTACTTAAGGTTCATTTGCAGGGGAAGAACTCATGAAAAATAATTCATATTTTGATTCATTATTTGTCTTCATTTTTTTAACTTTATGGTTTTTCTAGAGATAGCTTCCATGCCATGTAATGTGGAAAGCAGAACTTTTAGCCTAACGTTTCATAGCATAATATAGTGGTAGAAAAATAATTCCAATCTGTAAATGCAGTTGTTATTTTGTGTTGTTTTCCGGATGTTCTGTATAATGTTTCTTTCCTAATCGCTGGTCTTAGACTCTTAATAGACATTGTTTCTTTTAGCTATCAAACAAAAGGAATGTGGTGGTTCATGATTTCAGAGGGAAAAAGTTAGTCTCAATCAGGGACTTTTATCAAAAAGATGGAAAACAGCTTCCTTCAGCTAAAGGTAATTACAAATATTTGCTATCAAATTTCATAATGCTCACTTAGCTTTTGGTCTTGCCAATCCAATTGCATGGATTATCCCCTTCTCGAGTGAAGCATTGCATTTTAGTGCATCCGTTTCTGGAATCTATTCCTTGGTTTGATATTGTCTCAACTGCTGTAAGCACATAAATTTCTTCAGTACTCTTCAGTGAGGATTGTTGAAGCATGGATTTAAACCTAGGAAGAAAATGCATTGAAAGAATCTAAAGGGAAGATAAAAGCTTTGAGTTTGTAAAGCTGCAAATATGTTGCCAGATCCTCTGCAAATCCCGCATTTCTTTTAGAGCATCATTTGACTAGACTCACTTTGATGAATTGCCGAAGCTACATTTGATTTATGTTTGATTTTATACCATCTGTTATATGTAGTTTTCTGGACCAGTTATTGAACAGGCTCATTAATCTGTGTTTTATACTAGTCTATATAAATGCTCACATTTTAAAGAGGTAAAAAATTTGGTGCCTCGATCATTGGTGGTGAGGGGTTTTCTAATGGAGGGGTGTCACTTTTTATTTGTCTCTTGATGTCTGTTGTTTAATGCCCCGCAATTTTTTCTGCCTGAAACAGAGGAAGATGCTAACTTCCTAACAAAGATGAGGAGGTTGGTATTGCCCTATAAATGGCTCAGTTTTGGTTGGCTAAATTGATTTGAACCTATCCGTTATCTGTCTGCTGCTAATTTTAGGGATAAGTTTGCCGACTGAGCAATGGTCTGCATTCAAGAAAAGTGTCCCTGCTATAGAGGAGGCTATTACAAAGATGGAAGCAAAGTTGAGGTAAGTTTATTTTATTGTGAAATATGTGATGGCATGAATATTTCTAATTTGTTATTATATTTTAATCACCAGCTTGTGTTTGCAAAAATGTACCTCCCAATTTCTTAAGTATCAGGAAAAATACTTGTTTGCAAAGATAAGTTATGAACGATATTTGTTTTGAGCTTGAATTCTACATATATGATATACCCAAATATCTTAAAAGAGGTTCCCATATGCGTGCAAGTAAGGATGTTGACTTACCAACTTTCAGTTACCTTTGTGATAGTACGTAAACCATGGACATGAATAATGTAGTTCAATTCTTAATTTCTTTTTTCTGCATGCTTACAGTTTACTAACTGCAAGCTATATGGTACCATGCCTGTATTTTAATTGTAAAATGACAAGTTCTCCTAGAAACTTATTTCCTGTTTTATTCCTGGCCAAAAAGAAAGCATGTAGCTAGACGCTTGATAACATTGATTGGAGTGTATGAATGAGGTGGCTGCTGAATAGCAATAACAGTATGTGTTCCTTAGATGGGTTTAACTAACATCATCTAACCAATATTATGTAGACCCGACGTTCATCATAAGCAAAATGGAGATGTGCTGAACCCAATTCATGGTAAGCAAAATGGAGATGTGCTGAACCCAATTCATGGTAAGCAAAATGAAGATGTGCTGAACCCAATGCATGGTAAGCAAAATGAAGATGAGCTGAACCCAATTCATGATAAGCAAAATGAAGATGTGCTGAACCCAATTCTTGATGCTGCTCCTCCTGAATCTGTCCCTATTGAAATCAGCCGTTTTGATGGGAAAAATTACCATTTCTGGGTTCAGCAGATGGAATCACTCTTGAAGCAACTAAAGATTGCATATGTTCTCACTGAACTATGCCCAAATGCTACACCAGGACCACACTCAAGCGCTGTAGAAGTTGCTGAAGCCAGGGCGGCAGAAAAGAGGTGGGTGAATGATGATTTCATGTGCCGCCGCAACATCTTGTGCTATTTATCTGATCATCTGTTTAATCAGTATGCAAATAGAAAAATGACTGCTAAAGAACTATGGGAAGAATTAAAACAAGTTTATTTGTATGAGGAATTTGGAACAAAGAGATCACAAGTGAAAAGATACATGGAATTTGAATTCGTTGAGGAAAAATCCATACTTGAGCAAGTCCAAGAATTAAATGCCATTGCAGACTCTGTTGTCTCTGCTGGAATGGTGATCGACGAAAACTTTCACGTCAGTGTCCTCATCTCCAAGCTTCCTCCATCTTGGAAGGATGTTTGCATCAAGCTAATGCGTGAGGAGTATCTACCATTTTGGATGTTAATGGAACGTTTGAGGACGGAGGAAGAATCTCGTAATCCAGTTAAACAAGGGGGCGAACCTTCCAGTAGTAACACAGGCTATCATGAGGCCAGAAAATTGTTTCAAAGAGGTCCAGATACGAGGCTTTCAAGCATGTATGGCCAGAGGAGTAGGCCAGACGTGAATGTCAAGAGTACAATCTGTTATGTCTGTGGCAAGAAAGGGCATCTTGCCAGAAACTGTTGGAGGAGATTTGACAATCAAACCCAAGAAAAAAGAACAGAAGAAAATAGGCCCTCCACACCAGTAGTTTCACGGGTTAACATGGTTGGTGTCACTGAGTAGATACCACCGACATGGTGCTTTTGATTTCTGAGTAATTAGAAAAAGAATGGGTGATTGGAAAGCATGTGGTAGTGTTCTCTTACACACAGTTTTGTGAAAAAAATTTTAACTGGATTTGGCTGACAAAAAGTGCTGCCAAATGGATCATGAAGTTCCTTGTAATCATGCGAGGTGGGTTCTGCGGAATTTTGTCCTATGAGAAGGTATTTTTCGACGAATACTTTGCTCCAGTGCGTAGGGTCTGATCTGTATATAGACCTCATCAAGGAGGGAGATACTGTATGCCTCTATTGTTTTGTACATTTTCAGTAGTTTGATGGAATAATTTCGTCTTTCACACGATTAGTTGCCCATGTATTGAGTGATTTTGATTTATGAACACTCCTATTGAAAAGATCAATTGGAAGACAAAACCAAAAAACTAAAAAGGGGGGGAGTTTGAGAAAGTGATGGATTTCATTTAATATTTACCTTAGATCGAATCTTTGTCATGTCAAAAATAAAACTAGAGGTAAGATTTTTCATTTTTCTTTCCTGAGCACAAACATTCTGCTTGAAACAGTGGGGTAATAAACATGGAATTTTTCATCTATATACCAGTGTCTGTGAGAATTCGGTTCATTGTTGTTTAGCTTATTAGGCCTTTGGGTCATGTTTGGTACAAAGTATTAAAAATTAAGAATAAGAATTAAGATTGTTGTTAAAAACATACGTTAAAAAGATATTTACCATGAATGATTTTTTATCATATGAGATTAGGTAGTCCCATACAAATAGGATTAGAGAATACCACCTCTTCTTATGGTATTCCCTAATCCCACATATATGAGCTTGTGTAATCCCAAGTATCATATAATTATTCATGTTAAATATCATTTTAATATAGTTTTGTACTCTCAATCTCAATGATCATCCCTTAATGTTTCGTACCAAACGGGACTTTGTTATCCAGTAGATTACAAAAGTGGGCCCACAAATGCAAAAAAGACTTCCTAGACCGGCGAAACTCTATTTCAAGGCTTGAAAGCCCAATAGATCCCATGCCGTCCCATAACTATTTTAAGGCTGGAGCCCAGAGTCCCAAGCACGGAAGCACCCATCCCTTCTGCCTCTAATATTCCCATTGCCCAGAAAAGTACTATGCATGTCATGCATTAACACACACACGCACACGTGGTTCTGCTCGGACCCATAACCCGTTCATGTCACTTCAAACTTTGGTAAGGAGATGAGAAACTTGTAGATTTCTGATAACGGTGAAAAGTGGTTATTTATTTGTCTTTTTTTTTTTCCCCAGTGTCTTTATTCTAATAATGTCTTTGCACTTAAGAAGAAAGAATAAAAATTTTTATTTACTCATACAAGTAGTTTGTTTTAATACCAATACAACTTTTAGAATAAACGACACATGTTTTCAGCATTTCAGTGACTTAATTTGTTGATATACAACTAAATAATTACGTAACTTCTTGTGTTTACAAACGCTACTATAAAAAAATATCATATTAATTCTGCACATCAAATCGTGTCCAGTTCAATACGCACGCATGTGTGGATGCTACATAGAACTCGTCATGTTTACCAAAAACATATTTAAATTACACTTTAGAAAAAAATGTTTAATTTTTTTCCAGCAAAATAGATTTTATTAAATCGAAGCTGACAGATTTTCTGTGCTCGAAACGAATTCTTTTTTTCGCATGTGAATATATCACGTGATGGTGATGATGAAAAATTAACTAATGCATGTTGTTTTTTTTTTTTGAAATAGATTCAGATCTTGGGCTAAGGTGCGCCCAGCACCCCGAACTATTTACCCAGGTGTGTCTAGTGGCGTAAAGTAATTTTGGGTGCATTCAGTATCCTAAACTAATTAAAATGGTGCGTCCATATCCCAAGCTAACAAAAATGTTATGTTTAACTGTTACTTTCCTGACTCAACTTAAAGTTGACCCCAAATATTCTAAATTGAATTTATTTCCTTCCTCTTCTTCTAAATAAATTGACTTTTGAGTAAGAATAATACACATCGGGTGCCCATCCTTCCTCTTCTTCTAAATAAATTGACTTTTGAGTAAGAATAATACACATCGGGTGCCCATGTGTCTACCATGTAGAATATCTGGGGTTAACTTTAAGCTGAGTCAGGAAAGTAACAGTTAAACATAACATTTCTGTTAGCTTGTGATATGGACGCACCATTTTAATTAGTTTAGGACACTGGATGCATTCAAAATTACTTTAAACCACTGAACATATCTGGATAAATAATTCAGGGTACTGGGTACACCTTAGCCCTCAGATCTTTTAAATATATTCTGAACACTTTAGATTTAAAATATTAATATTTAAGTTATCATTTATATAGGTGGGGTCTGACAGAAATTTGAAGGCTGTCTCGTCTTTTTTGGGCCTCCCGTCAAAATATAAAATTTAAATTCACACCATTGCTTGGAAGGGAAAAAAAAAAACAAGAAGAAGAGAAAAACAGCAACACTGGCAACATTACTCGTTATTCGTCAAATCCAATGATGTGGTCCAAACCTAATTCTACTTTACAACTGATATATATCTCCTCGTTGGACTGATCCTTATCTGTCAAATTTATGGCACATTTTTCTCCCCGGCAAAAAAAAAAAGAGATTATTCTTCCTTTTTTTTAAAAAAAAAGAATTATAATAACGTGTGGATCCCAGGGTTTATTTTGGAGATACAGTTAGTGGATAAGGTTTTTTTTGACCAGCCAGTCAGTGGATGAGGTTGAATCCATAAAAGGAAGGAAGCAGAGTGGAATAGGCATAGGCGTGGCACTGAATGCAACATACACCACATCCACATGAGATGCTTATGTATGAGGCCACACACACACACACACACACACGCCCAACATTGAAACGTTACAAATAAAACAATTGTCTCATCAGTGAGACAAAGTGTGAAGTATACATAACATCACGGCTTTTAAGTTGGAATCTTTTCTTGTCATACAACTGCTCCTGTATGTTACGCTCATGCAAAGATTTTAGAGAAGAACATATAGATACCAGCTGAACTTACTTACGCTTCTTATGTTAACTCTTATTAAAAGGGCTATTTAATTAGTTTGAATAGATTTAAAAAATTAGTTAAATTAGTTATTCATAATAAATAAGTATTATTTTTCTTAAAATATCTTTACTAATCATATGTATTAATTAGAACTATTGTTTGATGAAATCTTTAATATATGTAATTACTATAAGAATTAAATTAGAAAAAATAAATAAATATAAGAATCAGAGTGAGTTAAGACCTTATAGTTAAAATCAAATTGAATCTCAAACTAATTTTTATATTAAAAACTGTAAATGCTATTTATGAGTTTTGATCGGAATCAAGAAATCAAGAAATATGTTAAATGTCAACTATTGCCTGCTTTCACCCAGAAAGGACTCAAGACGGCTCGAGAGAGGAGGGTCGAAAGTCGAAGCCCTCTAAGCATGAGAGCACAAAAACACCGACAAGCGAAAAAACTGAGAGTCCCACTCCCACCCTGACGGAAAAGACCACAAGGCAGATATATCCTCAATTATGTATTGGCCATGGTAAGCTAAACCACAGTGAGCTAAACCATTAATTACATATATTAATAATCATTCATTGTTTATTTCTGTCTCTGGTAGTTGGCATGTAGTTGTTTCACCATTATATTACATTATTATCTTTCAAAAAAATATTATAAGTCTATTAATTCATTTAAAATTTAATATATAAAATCCATCATCTTTTTAAAAGTAAACCAATATCTCAAACTTAAATATTATGCGAGAGAACGAGTCAATAGAAAAGTTTAGAGTAAAATACTCTAACATTCCTTGTATTTTATCCTAATTATATTGATCTTCTTTCTATTTTAAAAACATACACTTAAGTTTAAATCGTTAATTTCATTAAGAATATTTTAAAAAGATATTTTTTTAAACTAAAATTTATGTTGAAAGAACATTGATTTACTAATTTACCCTTCATAATATTAAATTCTTAAATTTTGGCCAAACCTATTTTGAAATTGGGACAGAAAATTAAGTAAATTAGTTAATGTAAACATACAATATTGGACAAAAATTTAACTAATTCTTTAAATAAATATATAATCAATCAAATAAGTTATAAATGTTGCCAACGGAATTTTTGTTTAAAAATTTTAAATTATAAATTTGAATGATTTATATATGTCCCAAACTCACATGATTTATATTATATGGTAAAAAAAATGCATTTAAAACATCTAACCTAAGTAAATAAGTTTCAGTATGTTATGAAGATTTAAAATTATATAATCTATAATACAATTAAAATTAATAAATTTTATAAAATATTTAAAAGTTTGAAAATATATGTATTATAATTATTTTTTGTTGTATCAAAAATTACTTTTTATAGATATAAATGTTCAAAAAATGTTTTTGTTGAGGAGGGATGTTTTAGTCAAAATAAAAGTTTGAAAGTCAAATTTAACGGTCAACTAGTGATTTGATGGATAGAAATGAAATCTCAAACATATAAGGATGATTTGTGTAACATACATTTTAATTTCAAATAAAATTTATATAGATTTTCAAAATAAAGGGAAAGTTTCTGTAATTTAAGTAAAATAAAAAGGTAGTCAATATATCTCACTCAAAAGTTTATTTAATAAACCAAACCCACTCGTGTGTACCGCATGAAGATTAAAAATGAATTGTATTATCCACGACACATCTTAATAAAGATTATATTATTAATGTTGATTGATCAATTGATTCAATTTGAACATGTCAAATTGAGAAATCCATAAACAATTGAATCGTATCAAAGTTTTCTAATGAAGATATCATATTCTAAGGCTAGATTTTAAAGGTTAGGGGAAAGCGTATGAACTGACCAAGAATTTTTAAAAGACAATTCACAGTTTCGTCCACAGCGCTGAATTATTCAAAGTTCAAGCAGTCAATTCAAAGAAAAGGAAATAAATAGTATGTGTGACCCAAAGGCTTAAAAAAGAGTCAGACAGACAAGTCCATAAGACTCTGACCAGGCCCACCACCGCGTCCAAAAATACGTTTTCTTACTATTTTTCTCGTACAATATTATGGTTGGTTTATTTATTTATTCATTTTTAATTTATAATAATAATATCTTTTTTTTTTTTTGCCTGAATAATAATATCTATATTTAATTGCTAGGCCACCAATAATTGGCCTTCCCTTTTGAAAAGCCAACACATGCACCACAATGCGCATGA